AATTTTTCCAAATTAGAGCTTGTCATCCAACAGAATTTTCTGCCACGAGGGTCATGTCCACACTGTCCAAAACATGTATGCCCTAGACATATGTGTTATCTAAGCTCCTAAAAAGTCACTGGGATAATCACAGAAATGATTTTTTTTCATATTATTCAACTTAATAAATTTAAAAGCCATGTATGGCTAGTGGCTATCATATTGGACAATGCTGGTAGAAAGTAAATCTATGTTCTTTGTTTAGACATCCAAATCCCATACAGCTTGCCCCCAGCCAACTGATATGGCTTCAATTTCTACAATATAAACACTGACTCTAAGAGAACCTGACCAATCCACTGCCTCACCTTGGATCACGATGCTTAGGCATCATTGCTAAGGGTACCTTCTATTCTTGGTGTTATGTTTTTGAATTCTACCCATACTTTATAGCACAGGTCAAGTTCTACCTGTGCTAAAGCACCATTCCTGGCAGTCTTCTCCAAAGTGCTGTGTAAGTAACGGGTTAGTAAACCTCAGGGTTGGGCCTGTCTAGGAAGGACCTGTCTCCCACAGGGTTGTTTTCTTGGAAACTGTAATGTGGAACTCCACATGGTCTGCAGAACCTGTGACTTGGCATTAAGCCCACATGACTAGAATGGTACAAAAGGTTGCTGGGAAAGAGGCTGTACCTTCTCTGTATCAGAGACACACCCTTACCTCAACTCTCACCTGTGGCAGCTGTGCATGCCCCATGTGGATCAGAGGCAAAAAAGCTGTGCCCTAGAATAGAAGACACAGACACACCCACCTAAATTCAGTTATCTCATACTTGACAAAGGTACCATAAACATACACTGGAGAAAAGATAGTCTCTTCAACAAATGGCACTGGGAAAACTAGAAATCCATATGTTGCAAAATGAAATTAGACTCCTGTCTCTCACCCTACATAAAACTCAACTCAAAGTGGATCAAAGACATAGGCATTAGATCAGAGACCCTCTGCCCACTAGAAGAAAAAGTAGGCATAACTCTGCATCATGTCAGGAAATAATTTCCTCAATGAGACTCCTAAAGTCTTAGGAATAAAATCAAGAATCAATAAATGGGGCTGGTATCAAACTAAAAAGCTTCTTCACAGCAAAGAAAACAATCAAGAACATGAAGAGAAAGCCTACAAAATGGGAGACAAATCTTTGCCACCTGCACCAGATACAGCATTAATCTCTAGGATATATAAAGAACTTAAAAAACATCAACACATACATACACACACACATACACACACACACACACACACACACACACCAATCAATAAACGAGCATGGGAACTGAATAGACACTTCACAGAAGAAGAAATGTGATTGGTCAACAAATATATGAAAACATGTTCAACATCTTTAGCAATTCAGTGTAGTTTTAATTTGCATTTCTCTAATTGCTAGAGATGTTGAGCATTTTTCATATATTTGTTGATCAATCACATTTAATGCTAAGTGAAGTTAGCCAATCTCCCCAAAACAAATGCCAAATGTTTTCTTTGATATAAGGAGGTTGACTCATAGTGGGATAGGGAGCGGGAGCATGGGAGGAATAGACGAACTCTAGATAAGGAAGAGGGGTTGGAGGGAAAGGGAGGGGGCATGGGCCTATTAATGATAGTGGAATATGATGATCATTATTATCCAAAGTACAGGTATAAAGACACGAATTAGTGTGAATATACTGTGTATACAACCAGAGATATAAAAAATTGTGCTTATGTGTGTAATAAGAATTGTAATGCATTCTGCTGTCATATATAAATAAAAAAAAAAACTATACTGAGATTTCATCTCACTCCAGTCAGAATGGCAATTATCAAGAATACATGTAACAATAAATGTTGGTGAGGATGTGGGGGAAAAGGACACTCATACATTGCTGGTGGCTCAGCAGATTGGTGCAATCACTCTGGAAAGCAGTGTGGAGATTCCTCAGAAAACTTGGAATGGAACCACCATTTGACCCAGTTATCCCACTCCTCAGCATATACCCAAAGGACTTAAAATCAGCATACTATAGTGAGGCTGCCACATCAGCATTTATTGCAGCTCAATTTACAATAACTAAGCTATGGAACCAATCTAGGTATCCTTCAACAGATGAATGGATAAAGAAAATGCAGTAGATATACACAATGGAATATTACTGAGCCATAAAGAAGAATGAAATCATGGCATTTGCCAGTAAGTGGATGGAACTAGAGAATATCATTCTAAGTGAAATGAGCCAATCCCCAAAAAACATTTGCTAAATGTTCTCTCTGATATGTGGATGCTAACTCACAATAAGCAGCAAGTGTGGCGGGGGGTGGGGGGGTCAGAGAGAATAGAAATTCACTAGATTAGACAAAGGGGAAGGATGGTAAAGGCAATAGAATGAATTGGACATAACTTTCGTATGTTCATACAGGAATACACGACCAGTGTAACTCCACATCATGCACAATCACAAACAGCTCACAGTGACTGTTCTCCTGCAGCCATCTTGAGTATCTGATGATTAATTCCTTAGCATGAGTACCTAGAGAGGGATTTACTGGCCCCAAAATTACATACATTTAAAATTTTAATAACTGCCATTCAGACTGTTCTCTAGAAAAACTGTACCAATTTACATGACTGATTAGCTTTAAATGCATGCACTTCTAGCCACAGTTTTTTTTAAAACTTAAGTTTAGAATAGATCAAATTACTAGAGATTAAATTTCCCACTCAAAAGGAAAGAAGGTGCCTCAAACCCCACTAGCCCTCTAAATGGGACAGAAGAGAAAATGTAAGTATGTTTGCACATGCGCAAAACAAGCTCACATTGTCTACAGGACAGAAACTTCAGGGTGTGTGATGCTGACAGAGCCCACAGAAATCCCAGAGGGTGCTTCCAATTCTGTCTCCCCAGCAACTACATTTGCCATCTAGTTCTTCATAAGAAATGGGCAATTACCTTGTCTGAGTTTTACCAAAGTTTCTAGTCTATTCAGCCATCACTATGACATTCATGTGAAGACCCCAAAATCTTCCATCTCTCCTAGGGGGTTTTATTATAGATAATTTGGACAAAGTGAATCTGGCTTCTTTCTAATATGTGGTCCATTCCTAAAGAAAGGTTCATTATCAACTTTTACGTGTATATATTTTTAAACACTTGTTTGGGGACACAATATCAATAAACAATTTTTATATAGTATTGAGGATCAAACCCAGTGCCTCATGTGTGCGATGCAAGCACTCTACCACTGAGCTACAACCCCAGTCCCTCAACTTTTATATTACCAAAGAATTATGTTATCAACAAATCAGCCATGAAGGGATCTACAGACCAAGACAAAGAACTGTGACATAGAAAATCAGAATATTCTATAAAACCACATATTCAAAATAATTCAAGAGTAATGAAGTCATATTGGATTGGAATCAATTTTTTATATGCCAATTTTGGGGGCAAATAAAAAAGATAATTTGGAAGTGTTTAAAGTTGAATTAAAATTAAATATCCATACTTTTCTTTGACACTCTGATTTTTAATATTTGAACCATTCATTTGAAAGGATCTTACTCAGACAAATTGTATTTATCTTCCTAGCCAAAGAAGACCCTGAGGGCATTTGTTTTCCTAGCTCTTTCAAGACTTCTGTGTGGCCCCCAAAGATTGATCAAGTTTAGATGTCATTGGTTCACTTGTTTCCAACTCTGCTCACAAACCAAACGTGAATGATCACCAGCCATTTCCTATGAGGTACAGCTTGTCATCTAGGAAGTCTAGTGCAAAGTCCCTGCAGTATCTTCCTCACTAATCATTCCCCACTTCCTGCCACACACCCACACAGACGTACATGATAATGCCATCAGTTTTTAATTATCCAAGCTCAAGAAGGGAGCAAATAATAACGCCTATTCAAAAATGTAGGTAAAACAATCCACTGTGATTTTAATTTGGACCACATTATGTGGAGGAGTCAGGAGTGGGTCACTGGAGGACATCCAAGTGACCTTCCTACTTAAGATATTTCTTGGGTGCTTACATTTGCTGTCCAAGGTTGGAACGTCTGGATTTGCTCAACAAACCAATGAAAGGAAATTCTCCTGCAAGGACTACATGAAGGGAGAGACCAAATGCTATGTGAAGAAGAATTCCCTCAATTTCCAACAGAAAAACTGAAAGGAACACCTTCAACACTATGTACCAACATCTTCACTGACTTCAGACAAAAATCTAAATAGTGCTAGTTCCAACACAGGTAGCTCTTAGAAGAGGAAAACACACATTTTGGTATCTTTACCAATCCATATTTTGTCAGTTTTTTGGTACCTACATTTAAAGAGAAGACTAAAAAGAACTAAGTATCCTATAGCAAAATTGGTCAATTTTGTCTTCCACTAATTAAGGATCTGTTTACTATCATCCACCTCATAGTATGGTTCTGGGACACAGATAAGCCAGTACATCAGTATTCCTTCCAACAGTGCCTGCAAACATATATATTTCATAAAATGTCAGTTATTATAATTAATTTTTCAACAAAAGACCCTCATACTCGGGCTTTTACAAAACACTTCCATTAGCACAAAATCATCCGATCCACTCAACCTGAGGAGGTAGGTTTATGATTCCCACTCTATAGATACAGAGCCTGAGCCTCAGGGAGTCCTATGATTTACCCATCATCATGAAGGGTTAACTCTAAGCCAGGAAGGTCAATCTTTCAGCTTCAAGTCTAAGACATCCTTCTCTATAACCCATAGCTCAGAGCCCCACACTATTAGACTGACCACAAATGTGTTTCAATTCCATCCAAAGGGAAGGCAGTCAATATTTTCATTTATTATTACATATCAAGATGCTGTGCTCCTTTAACCCAAGATACTACAGTGCTTAGTGAGAGTAGCATCGGGTCTCCTCTGCGGCTGAACCACAAGAGAGTCTGCAGTTGCAGGAGCTGCAGCTTCAGAAACCTTCGTTAACTGGCTTATTACCTACCTTAGGCGTCTCAGCTTCTCCCTGCAGTCGCTTGGGGGTTCCTTTTTGGTCAGGCACCTTCTGGAAATTTTTGCTTTTAATGGATTGAGATTCCACACCTTCACCTTCAATTTGCAGTTTAATACCTTCAGCACGGGAAGGGTGATCAATACCCCGTGGATTCAAACCACAGTGGAGAGCTAGGAAAGAGGGACAAATAGGACTCAGAAAACAACTCACACGAAGAAAGTGTCCAAGACAGAAAGTATTTCATCAGGCCTAAATGGGAAGCAAAAAGACATCTGAGAGTTAAGACGTAGTGTGATAACTGTGGGAAGTAACAGAATGAAGAAGGAGTATGGGGCAGTAGGGAACCCTGAGCTTGAAAATCAGGGAGACTTAAGTGCAACCAGTTGCAAGTTGAGCAAGTTAGCAATCCTCACATTTCTGATGAGAATCCCAAATTAGGCAGCTTCATGACTGCTTCCAATACATTCAATTATTGCATTTAGCTTATATCTATGCCTACATCTGAAAAGTGCTCATTCCTGTCCCTTTCTGAATCTTCTGTATTCTCCAAATATCCACTTAAGTCTCTTCCTTTCAGTCAACCAATATTTAATGAGCATTTACTATGTGCCAATCCTGGGGCAGGTCCTGGAACCATGCACTTAAGTAGGACAGAAGCTATCCTCAAAAAACTCACAAGCTAAGAGGAGGCAGCAAAAAGAATTAGTGATTTTTTTAAAACAGTCATCACTGCTATGGGAAAGAGAAGGAAAAAAAACAGAGTGAAGAGATCAACAGAGACAAGCCCCAGTGGCTTCCATTTTTTTATCTTACTCTCCCCACATCCTTTAACATGCATACCCTCACAAACAAAACCTAAAGTTTATTTTCTGGGATATTTATTCACTCAACAAATCTGTATTTATCTCCTCCTGTGTTCTCAGTATTATCAAAGAAATAGCAGTCAATGTTACAAGAACCATACATGACTCGTGTGTGTGTGTGTGTGTGTGTCCAAGTTCATGTGACAGGAATGTGTGTTTTGAGGTCTATGAGAAAGTATTTTGCCTCTGTATGACCCCAACCCTTCAAATTTCAGTTCCCATCCTCATCCCCTTCCCTTTGACATCAGATAATTTAAGGTCAAATACTTAACCACCGCCCCCCTCACACACACACTTACACACATACCACCACACACACACCCTCTCCCTCAAGACTGATTTGTTGGTAATCTCATTTTACCCAATATCTTTGGCCCCCTCCTTCCTCACCATTCTTCCCCTTATCCATCTTCTAAGATTCAAAGTCCTGGTGAGGATTTTGGGTACCCAGGCCTCCTCTTCCCCTGGCTTCTGAAGAACGTTTCACCTTGAGGGAAGGCTTCCCAAAGTCAGGAAGGACCTTTCCCTTCCATTCTCCACTTCCTCCTTAACAGAGGCCATCTCTCCCCATGGCTCTTGATGCAATGAATGTGCAGGTGACTCCAATTTTCACTCCAGCCTGAACAGACCTGATGAGTGCTGCTCAGTCTCTATGTCAACACATGGCAGATGCCTCAAACTTAACATAATCTAAACTGAACTTTAGTTATTGTACAAAAAAAAATTGCTTTCTCCAGTCTTCTCCATTTATGCGCACAGAAACTGAGGAGCCATGGAGAATCAGCACACGACACTCTCGCCATGTTTCACCACATCCTCTCCTTCAATCACTACATTCAGGAGCTCTGCACCCAAAGTGCTGCTCAGATCCATCGCTCCCACCATCTCCACCACCACTGTCGTCCTGGCCCAAACTACCCACTTTTCACATCCAATCTGCCAAACTAATCCAAGAGCTCTTCCTCAACCCTGAAGATCCATTAAAATTAACTGTGAAGGGAAGTGGGGGAAAGACTCTTCTGCTTAAAACTTCCTAATGGTCTGGCTTCACACTTTTATAATTCCAAAATCTTAAACTTGGCCAGCAAGGCCCTCATTATCTGTCTCCTTTTCATCTTTCCAACTTCCATCTTCCACCATGCTATTCCTCATCATATGCCTCCTTTTCGCTTCACCAAGTTCCTTCTCTCCTCCTAGACTTTATACATATTTCCTTGCCTGGAATGTTGTTCCCTATTCTTCACCTAATTCCTACTTGTCATTCGGGGTTTGGCTTACATGCAGATCCTTCAAAAACTCTTTCTCTTTGTCCCCTTTCTCATCCCAATCTTCCATCCTCCCCATGTTAGGTCATGTTCCTGGAATAGTAAGCACCCAACAAATACGATCTTGAAACGAAATCTAAATAAGAATGAGCTAAAATAAAAATGGATTGTACAGAGGTTCTTCTGCAATGTGATCTTATTTCTACCATAAAGACATTACCTGTTAATTTCTCTTCTCCTGATCTCTAAGCTTCCTAAAGCCAAAGATCAGCCTACTTTGTGGTACACATTAAGTACTAAGTATGTATCAGTTTGTGTGGCCTCCCTCAAGTTAAACTTGCTGGCCAAGTTTAAGTTTTCTTTGGGGAAAACTCTGTGACTCAATTATATTAATTTCTCAGATAAGGGAAATGAGGCTCAAGGCAGGTTCTGGCCATAAAAGTCAACACAGGTGTCTATGGAAGGTCATAAAGATCATGGATCATTTAGGATGTACATGATTTCAAGAAAGAGATGAGCAAATTCAAACTGGATCAAACAGTGAGAAAATATATTAGTTTTCATTACAGGAGGTCTAGTCACAGCACAAGTGTAGAGTTGGTTGATTTGTGGCTCAATAGTGTCATGAAGAACCTTGGATTTTTCTTTTTTCCATCTCTCTCATGTTGCTACTCAGAGAACCACCTTTATCCTAGACTTGGAGGCCCTTAGAGTACTCAAGAGTTACAAGCCTCTGGTTTTTATCTTGCAACAAAGACAGCCTGTCTGATCAAGGTCTTGTTTTCCCTAAACCTCCTCCAATATTGCTTCTTTTCTCATTGGCCAGGAGTAAATCACATGATCATCACTGAACTAAAACCCAGGCAGTGAAGACAGGGTTACTCCTAAACCAACTGACCTTTAGCTAGGGACAATTCTCCAAAACACATTGCCAATACTCAACAGGGCCGGGGCAGAATCAATGCCAGGGAACTAAACTACAATGTCCAAATTAGGCAGTGGTGGAAAGAACTTGGTAGCCAAAACCTGTAAAAATATGAGGTCAATCACTGTTTTTCCAAGTCAAGGAGTGGCCTAATTACAATCCATATTCAATTAAACATACAAAATCTTGATTAATTTTAAAAGGTGCGCTTCTGTAGGGAGATGGCAGATTGGCAAGGGAAAGATTTAGACATTAAAGAGGAAAAGAAAAATGTCTGCTGTTCATCTTTCTCAACGGTATTAACCCTGATTGCTTTCTGCCTGAGAATCAGGGGCTAAGAATACCAGGGAACTGCTGGTAACTTCCAATACCTCCTCTTCCCTTCCCCCATCACCCTTCATCAAAGCAGACTTATATACTTCCTTCACCTGTGGCAATGCTGGTCCCTCTCCCTAAAAGAGGTTCCATCCCACTGTGATCACTCCGCAGTTCCACCTGCCATGCACCTGGTTTCCAATTTTTTTTGTACATAAAAAAAGGTGGCACCTTCAAGATGACAACTCAAAACAATGGCTAGAATACACACACACACACACACACACATACACACACACACTACACACACTTGCAGTGAAATATTTTACCTCAATGTTTATAAAGCAATGTTGTAAAATCTGTTTTGGATTTTAATTTTAATTCCACATTTGTATGAATTTAATGTTTTGGTTTTTTTTAATTTTTATTGTTGGTTGTTCAAAACATTATATAGTTCTTGATATTTCACACTTTGATTCAAGTGGGTTATGAACTCCCATTTTTACCCCATATACAGATTGCAGAATCACATCAGTTACACATCCACTGATTTACATATTGCCATACTAGTGTCTGTTGTATTCTGCTGCCTTTCCTATCCTCTACTATCCCCCTGAATTTAATGTTAGTGACCTTTGAACTGAGTCACACTGGAAGCAATTCAGGTACAGATCCTAACTCAGCTGCAGTGCCAGTTCAAGTTCAAGAACTAGAACTCTGGTAGGCACAAGAGTGACTGGGAAGATGAGGAGAATGTGGAGAGGGTTTTGAAGTTGACCCATGAGGGATTGAGCCCACTAAATCGAGTAAATAGCTAGAGTGGAAACAAGAAAGTGTAGTGATGAGGACAGAAGAGATGGGGGCATCTTTGACATGATGAGCAAAGAGAAGGTGGTCACGCCCTACAAGAAGCCATTGGAGAGTTGCTTGGTTTTAAAACATTAGAGACATGAAATTTCAGGGAAAACAAAACAAAGGGGGTGAGAAACAGTTTTAAATAACCAAGTCTAAGCACAAAAACCTAAATCAACTACTGGGCTTGCAGTCACAGAGGGAATAGTGATGGAGGATTAAGATATTTCTGTGAAGAATAAGGCAATGTGTGCAGGAGTCAAAAATCATCATTCTGCCTGTAATTCCAGTGGCTCAGGAGGCTGAGGCAGGAGGATTGCAAATTCAAAGCCAGCTTCAGCACAAAGTGACGTGCTAAGCAATTCAGTGAGACCCTGTCTCTAAATAAAACACGAAATAGGGCTCAGTGGTTGAGTGCCCCTGAGTTCAATCCCTGGTACTCCCACCCCACAAAAATCATTATTCTGCCTCCCAGTTTTAGATATCTGACATTTTTGAGCACCAATTTTTTACTAGCAGGAAAGTTCCTCCCGATATAAAGCAAGATTGTGGGAAGAGGGGATTTCTGTTTCATTCTGCATTGGATCAAAGGTTCCTTAAATGCCTATTACATGCCAGGTTCTCCTTAAATGACTTTTACTCCAGGTTCTTGGAGTAATAGGCATTTAAGTGGAGTGGAGACCAAGCAATGAGTAGGAGATGGTAACTGCCCTCCAGGAGCTTACAACTCTGGTGGGGAGGCAGGTGGATCAATTTGGTGGGCGTTCTCAATATTTAAGTAGGCTGAGGCACCTGGGCATGGTGAGCATGAGACAGTACAGGCTAAAGGTTCTTGACCTGGTAGCCAGAGACTCCTAGAAGGCTTTCCAAGGAAGAGATCTGAGCTGACACATGAAGGGTGTAGGTGTTCGTTTCCTAATAAAAGGAAATAGAACTGGGGTGGAGCAGAA